GTGAGCGACGAATCCCTGAAGTGCGTGACACATATCGTGCAAGCGCGCGCACCGGGCAGAGAAGGTGAGAAGCGGCCTCCTCCTCAGAATTATGGGGAGGAGTAAAAAGTCCAGCCAATGAAATTGACCTGGATTTGAAGGAAGCATTAATGCTTTTGGGCACAAAGGCTGGGTTGGGGCATAAAACAGCAGACCCACCATCCTCCCGGATCCTGAGGCATGCGGGAGCCACTGAGAGGGCGGTTAGGTCACTCACTCTCTTAACTGATGCTAGCGCCAGCAGCAATGCAGTTTTAAGTGACAGGAACTTGAGTGAGACCTGGTCCAAGGGTTCAAATGGAGCTTCAGATAAGCCACGCAGAACCACCGTTAGATCCCATTGGGGAAAAAGCGGGCGGGACACAGGTCTGTTCCTCCTGACACCTTTTAGAAAACGTTTTGTGAGGGGATGATTGAAAACAGATCTATCTCCAAAACCCTGATGACATGATGAGATAGCTGCAGCATATGTCTTAACAGTGCTGAATGCGAGGCCCCTGTCCATCAGTATCTGCAGAAACGATAGGACATCCGCCAGCTGGCAGGAGAGCGCTTGAACATTCCGTTCTGCGCACCAGTTCTGGAAAGCTGCCCATTTAGCAGCGTAAGACGCAATGGTAGAGGGCGCCCGCGCACTCTGAATCGTGGCGACCACATCATGCGGCAGCCCAGAAGCCTCTAAGCGTGACCGCTCAGCGGCCAGACCCACAGCCGTTGGCCTATTTCCGGAGGATGTTTGATTATCCCATCCGCCTGGAGAAGGGTGTCCGCCCTCCACGGGAGCCTCCACGGGGAGCCGGACACTAGCGCTTGCAGGTCCGGAAACCATGACGCGGACACGCGTCTGGGAGCCACCAGAATCACCGAGAGCTGTTCCGACCGAATTCGGTCCAGGAGACGGGGAATCAGAGGGACTGGTGGAAACGCATAAAGGAGCGTTCGAGGCCAGGGCTGGTGTGAGAAGGTGTCCGCCCCGAGCGGGGGTCCGTCCCGGGGACTCAGGGAAAACCACAGGCGACACTGAGCGTTTTCGCGAGCCACGAACAGATCCACAGACGGTTCCCCGAACCTGATCCAGATCTGTGATATCAGTGCAGGATGCAGACGCCAGTCAGAGTCGCGGGGTCCCCCTCTCGACAGGATGTCTGCCGCTACATTCAGTACCCCCGGAATGTAGATGGCTCTGATGGACAGCAGGTGGACATGTGTCCAACACAGTAAATCTGTGGCAACACGCAACAGTGGGAGGGATCGAACTCCCCCTTGGCAATTTATGTAGGCTGCCGCTACCCGGTTGTCTGTGTGAACTTCGACATGACGGCCCTCTAGAAGGGCAGCGAAGTGTCTGATCACATTCCTCACTGTCATAAGCTCCAACACATTTATGTGCTCGTGCGTGTGGGAGGGCCAGCGATCTGCCACCGTATGGGACAAGCACGTGCCCCCCCACCCCGACAGTGACGCATCCGTAAACACAGATACGTGTGACGCAGGACGTCCAATGGGAACCCCGCGTGAGAGGATGCAGGGGTTCCCCCAGTGAGCGAGGTCCCCGCCCACTGAAGGGGGAATCCTCAACATACGTCTCTTCTGACGTATCGGGTGTACCCGGAGGCGGACGAACCAGCGTTGCAAGCGCCTCGTGCGCAGCAAACCTAGCGGCACCACTGAATGGGCTGCGGACATCATGCCCAGGAGTTTCATGACTAACCGGGCTCTCACGATCTTGCGGGGTTGAACACGGGAGATCACCGTGGAGACATCTGCCGCTCTTGCAGGCGACAAACGTGCTCTCATTAGGGAGGCGTCCAACTCCAACCCGAGATACACAATCGACTGGGATGGAAGGATGGAGCTCTTTTCCCAGTTTATAGAAAACCCTAGGGTTGACAGATGCCCTGTCAACCTCCTGGTTTGCTGTGACGCCTCGTCCTTGGACCGAGCGCACAGGAGAAGATCATCCAGGTAAAATAAGACCCTTATTCCCTCCGTGCGCAGTGGCTGCAGCGCGGTCTCCAGACATTTGGAGAAGGTGCGCGGGGCTAGCGAGTAGCCGAAAGGGAGGCGATTGAACTGATATTGAACTCCCTTGAACGAAAAACGTAGAAACTTCCGGTGGTTTGGAACTACTGGTATGTGGAAGTATGAGTCTTTCAGGTCGATTGACGTGAACCAATCCCCGGGGCGCACATATTCCAGGACTTGTCTCATCGTTAGCATGCAGAAATGCATTACTGCTATGGAGCAGTTGAACAGGGACAGGTCGAGAATCGGCCTCATTCCTCCCGACTTCTTCGGTACTACGAAGTAGCGGGAGTAGAAACCCGAGAGTTCTTGTCCGCGAGGGACTCGGGAAATAGCGTCTTTGGACAGAAGTTCCCGCAACTCCAGCTCTAGCGCCTGAGACTGTACTTGAGATGTGAACATCGTCTCCACGATCCCGTTGAAGGGATGTGGAGTGGCCTGAAAATGAAGTGTGTGACCGCAATGAATGGTGTCCAAAATCCATTTGCTCATGATGCAAAGGCTGCGCCACTCGTGCGCGCGTTCCGACAGTGGACGCGTGTGCGCGGTCACGTGAACAACGTCTGAGGGTTGTGCATGTGCCCATACCGCCGTCGCCCGTACCAGAGAACTGGGGGCGACCCATGGAGGGCTGCGCTCGAAAGGGCGAGTGCGAAACAGCTGGAACAGGCTGGTCCACACCGCGGAGCGTGGAGTCTGAGAGTGAAGGACGAGTGGGAGCCGGGCCTGTGCACTGGGGCGACAGAGTGCTAGCGGATGGAGCCGCGCACTGTGCCGCCGCGCGTGGTCGAGACAGCGACATGACATCCCGCCCCACCCAACGGCGTGGGGAGAGCGGGAAGAGTTGGGCCTGGCCGGATGCTGGGGCCAGAGCGCAAATGGAGCGCACCCTTACGGCTGGCCGTGTATTATGACTACCTGCAGGAACGTGTGTGCGTGCAGCAGTGCTTGGTGTGGGGAACATGTGTGAAAACTCGGCAGAGGATTCTGCGGAGGACTGTAGGATTGTGCTCTTTGAGTGACGTTTTTTGGGTTTTATTTCAAAACCAACAACATCAGAACAATCAGTAACACACACATTCCCCCCAAAGAGTCACTTCCGTGGCTGCTTTCGGCGAGGCTCCTGCACCTGGGACTGCCAAGACGGCGTCTGCTGGCCCCGCCGGAACCGTTGTCCGCCATCTCGCTGGTCCTGCTGATGTGGAGCCGAAGCGGGAGGCCGGCTCCGTGGAGCGGGCGGTGCAGCTGGACGTCTGAAGCTTCCGCGCCGTTCGTCCCATCCTCTGGCTGAATGGCCGGAGTGCGAGGCTGACCGAGGGTGGACCAGGTCTCGCACCGTAGCCGATAGTTCGGCCGTCTTCTGAGCCCTCTCAATGACGCCCCTAAGATGGGGACCAAACAGAACATCGGTGGTGATGGGGCCATCCAGCATCTCCCTTTGCAGATGTTCCGGAATGGAGGGCAGGGCCTTCAGCCAGATCGCTCGCTGGATGAGGGTCTGCCAGGCAGCGATGCGAGCAGAACCGGTGAGCACAGCAGCACACAGATTGAGGATAGCATCATCAGTCTTCGTTATGATGGCTTTCGACTCCTCGGGAGCTTCCAGCTCCTCCATCATCTTGGAGACGCCGAAGGCAAGAAGGGCGATGTTATTTCCTGCAGCGCCGGTCTGAAAGGCACACTGATGTGCGCGGTCGGTGAGCCGCGTCAGCAGCTGGTCATGTTTTGAAGCGGGAACAGCTCGCGGGCCAGCGAGGTGGTTCTTTGCGCCGAACAGCGAGGCCAAATCCGGCTCTAGTGGAGGAACGGACGGCCAGCCTTGGTCGGAAAACCCCTCAACCTTGGTGATGGGCGCATACGTGGAGACTGGCGCCTTGAGCTTGGCAGGCTCGGAGAAGGCGGCAGACCAGCAGCTCATAGCAGCGGGGAAGCGCGGCCAGATAGGGTCTGGACAGCGTGTCTGAGTTGCCCCGAAAATTCCCACCAAATCATCCGCTTCAGGCAGGGCCGGTTCTGGCACAGCTAGCCCCTTGCGGGCTGCTGCCGCAGAAATGATGGCGGGCAGCTCCTGGAGCAGTGCTCTTACTGCTGGCAGGGAGGAGCGAGAAGCCACTGGGGCAGAAGGACCCGCTGAGCGAAGCTCGTCGACCTCCGTTATGTCTAGGAGGGATGCCGCCTCATCGTAGTTTTCGCTGTCGGTGACGTCATCCAGCCGGTTGAAGCCAGCCGGCTCCTGACCGGCGTCGAAGAAAACCAAAGCCTTGTCCAGCGGGTAGGAGTCAGCCACCGGAAATTCTTCGTCGGCGGCGGGAGTGAAGTACTCGACCCAGCGACTCTTCTCCGCCACGGGCAGAGCGGCACAGAGCGGGCACGAGGCCTGCGGGGTCAAGGCCAGGCCAGCGTGGTGAGCCCCGAGACAGACCTCACACTTAGCGTGCAGGTCGCCGCTGGAAATGGAGCTCGTCTGGCAGGTCGTGCAGGGTCAAGCGTCGCTGGACATGGCTGGTAAGTCGTCTTCGGATAAATTTGCTCTTTTGGGATGATATTTGCTCTTTAATAAAGCTCTCAAGCTTGGCATGAAGAGAAAAAGGAGGTGAGCAGTGGGGTCACTGCGGTTATATACCACGAGGGGGCCCACTATTGGTGGGCGTACATTTAAGCTCTTCATGATTGGCTGATGCGGAGATCATCCTTCCAATAGCAGCTGCGCTTTATTCCAATAGCAGCTAGCTTAAGGGCTGCGACTAGACGAAATAGAACATGTCCTATGTACGTGGAGCAGGCAAAATCTGTGGTTGGTACACAATGGCTAAGGCATGGGCATAGGATGGGGTAAGCTGTGAACTGTTAACTTTTTTGTTAGTGATGACAAATATAAGATCTGACAAAATATTGATTCTTAAATAAATTATAATGAATAAGAGTTCTCTTTTCAGAGGCTGGCGTCAATAAACATAAAGACTTCCACAAAGAGCTGTCAGCACTGCGAGTGTCTCTAGAGAATGTGTCTATCGTGGCTGTTGGATCCAACATGTCTCTGGTACAGTGGAAGGTATGGCAGCAAGGTTCTGATCATCTCAGAAAGGTTAGGATTAAATCTGGCTCCTGGTTTTCTTATTTTCTTTGTCTCTAGCTTCAGACGCTCCAAACCCAACCACATCACCTCGATGGCTTTGAGGTTTTGTATCGCTCTTTGCTGCCTATCAACTCAGACTGGGCCGCAAAGAAAGTGGCACTTCCCAGCTTCCAGGCAGAGATCGGTCCACTGAAAAGGGGTTACAAGTACGCGTTCAAAGTTCGACCGTATGGCAGCAGCTTGTATGGAAGGGAGAGCAACACTCTGCAACAACTAGTTCCTGAGAAAGGTGATAAAGAATTGCATAACATCAGTGTGTTTTGTTTTATCATACAGATGAGATGTGGAAAAAATAGTTATTTCCCTTCTGTTATAGATGAAAAAACCCAAATGGTCCATAAAATACTTTGACAATAACAATATATTAATAGGTTAAAAAGACAGATCCCAACAGAAGGTGTCATTACCAAAGTCAAGAAACATCAGTGTAGGATAACACCATCCCGTACCTGATGGAAAACGACCAAGGTGGACAACACTGTTGGAAACCAATCCTAATAAACACCTAATTGGAATTCACCAAAATGCATGCACAGGGTCCATAAAGCTTCTGTGAGAACAACCTTTTGACTGAGGAGAGGTTGGAGCCTAATGGCAAGTCCTATCAGCTCTCAGAACTCTGGACCTATGTTTAGAAACTAATGATGTTTTAATTTCATTCTCTATATGCTTCTGGAGCAACATCTACTATTGAACTGTGTCAGCCTCTGATAAAACCTCAAGACCATAAAAATGTTTTGGAGCCAAGTGTTCTGTCCGTAGTCAGAAAGCTTGGTCATGGTCACAGGTCTTATGTCCTTCAGGATAATGACCCAACAGACAAACAGATTTAAATGTTAGACTATTCTGCAGTGGCCTTCTATGAGCCATAATTTAGATCTTGTGGCACATTTTAAAAAGGAGGTGAAACATCTGGAAAAGGGACCTATAAGATCCAAGACAGTTGGAGCAATTTTCTTATGAGGGGTGGGCCAGAATGGTGTGATGTCTCGCTGGAGTTGGCAGGTTTTTATTAATAGATCGGTACCAACTGTTCTGTAACTGTATTTGATCAGTTTTAATGAAATGTTCCCTCTTAATGCAGTTCCAAGTGCCCCTCCACTGGCTGTCTCCATCAGAGTGAACCACGAGAAGAATGACAGCATGCATTTGAGCTGGGAGCCTCCTCCTCATGATGCCCATAATGGGATCCTACAGGGTTACCAGGTAATTGTTTTCCCTTACCAGGTAATTAAAGAAAATTAATGATAACCTTAGAGGCTGGGGCTTCCATGTGATTGGAAGCATACCTGCTGCAGTGTCACCCCACTGATTCTGTATGTTTTGCAACCTGCAGTTTGTGAATTTAAAATGTGTCGGGGTTCTGCTTTGCAGCTCAAGATAGATTAGAAGCATCAATAGATGTTTACATTTTCTTTAACAAATTTTATTGATAAAATGGGTCTGTTGTCCCGGGCCCAGGGTTGAGGGAGGTCAGAAGAGCAAGAGAAACGAAGAAATCCTCTTTAAACTGTGGTTTAACAAACTATTACTTAATAAAACCATCCATATGCATAATCTAAGAACCCTTGTGGTGAAGGCTCTGTGATCCAGGGGTCTGGAGAAGTCAATACGGAAAGACTGCTAATGGATTTGATTTCTGTGGTATTTGGAGCATGTAGATCTACCCCAAATACCCAACCATCTGGTTTGAGATACTGAAGTAACTGGACAATAGAGAGCTCGTCCCCTCAGGACCACCAATAACACTTAAATGCCTTTACTTGTGATCCAGCAGCCTGGTACAACTCCTGACTGTTTGAGTGGACGGACCTGACTTGTGCTCGCAGAGGCCTTACTTGCATGGGGAGCCAGACTGGACTATTCAGAGTATGTCTGGTTCCTGGCTTACCTCTTGCTGGATTGGACCCAGTGGATTGTGCTGGCCAGGAGAAGCGTCTCCACACGATTCTGTCTCGGGGCCCCGCCGAACTGGCGGCAAGGGTATCGTAGAATTCTGATGCACTTGCAGTCCGATGTTCTCGGCAAACCACCATAATCTCTTCGGCCTGCAAGAAAATATTGATACATGGCAGTGGCAAAGATGGCTAGAACATCCAAAAGGGCCCCAATGAAACACGTGTAACAACCTGAAGTTGTATATTTATACACTGTAATTAGATCTAAGTAATTAATCAGAAGTGGTTGTTTTTATCATCAGGGAGTTTACTTAAACACTCTGTATTGACTGAGAGACAAGAAAAGAGAGAGTTGGGATCGTTTAAGAATCTTTAATTTCTATAATTATAAACTCTTACAATCTACCAGGGCTATCTCAATGATGAATGCATATGGATTTGGATGTTTCGTGTTGGTGTGTGTGTGTGTGTGTGTTGTTCAGAATCTCTAGGCTGACGTAGCGAATCTGGTTGTTATGACTAGGCTACCACGAGGCTTCAGAAGCTGATGACATGAGCTGCCATTTTGTGCCGTGACTACGTACCTATGGAGTCTCCCGCGGTCAGATCAGGAGTGTCAGGTCCTAGAACCCCCCTTGGTGCTGGGCTGATGAAACAGTGGTGCAGCACGACAAACCAGTCTACGGATAGCTCCGGTAGTAGTAGCAGATCTCGGCGGGTTCAGCTCTTATTGTGAAGGAACCGTCGTCTTGTTGTTTAAACGACAGAAATTTCCAGCTTGACAGTTCTCAGCTTAAAGTAGAAAGTACAGCTGGCCAGCCTGTAACTTTCTTAATGATGACGATGGAAATCCTTAGGACCTCCAAGTGAACGGAACTGAGGTTAACATGGAACTGAATATAAAATGGCGTTGCCTTGTTTTATACCCCTCATTGTTTACAAATCTTAGTAAACCGGATTGGACGACTTTCATTAAACAACCCAGATTCTGCCCTACCACAGACGAAAGTTCTGATTGGTTGAGAATAATGTGTCATGCGTTTCCATGGTAATGTAGATCAGTCTGTCTGGTGCAGCCCTGTTTATTCATTAAACACATAACTCATGACATCTTTATTTCACAGATCATTCACCTGATTATTAATGATCAACATATGCTTTGATTAGCTTATCACAAATAAAGTACTTTGATTAATTAATGAAAAGCGTTCTTCTTCTCTTCTTCTGTCTCTCCTCCTGGAATGTAAATATACTGAACCAAGCGTCCGACCTTGGTGATGTTACTGTGTGAAGGGGCAGCTGTTAAGGGCAGACCATTATAAGCTTCATAACGCTACACACGAAACCCCATAAAACTACCATAACAACAACACTGGTCTAAGTTTGGGCCGCAGCATAGGCCTCTCATTAGCAGTTTTAAGACATCAGTATGTAACCACGGCTAAAGAGAACCCAACTGACCCCCCATCGATCAGTACCAGCCACATCCATCTTAAAGGAAAAAACTACAAAGCAGTGGCCACAAAACCCGCGACAACGATGTTGTGGTTCATCACTTTCAAAATTCCTCCTTCGTTAAGCAAATAGAGGAAGAGCAGACACCCGGATGGGAAAATGTGCCCTTTAAACCGGCATCTGCACACATTAGCTGTAATATACGCGAAGCATTTAAGAGTTCCGATATAATAATGCTGCATAAAATGGCAAGAGCACAAAACAATGGACAAATATATCAGACCACCCCATTGTCTCACCATGTCGTATCGATTGTGAGGCCCCCTATCCGGGAGGCTACTGTTGCTGATATTGGACAGACCGCCCAACGACGAGCCACGGCTCCCATCGCTAGAATTGTGGTCACTCATTGTTCAGAAACAGATTCACACGAGACCCTCTGTGCGCTGCAAGGAGTAGCTCGGCTGTTCGGAACCCAAAATGATTTTTCATGCTCCTGCACGCCAGTTAATTCATATTCTTCATGTATTGGCTCCTCCCCTTGCCCACAACAAGGCGAGGCTTCGAGCCCACAGCATCTTAGACTCACAGCCCACAACAGTGCAACTACTCTGTTCGGACAAATCAGGTTGAGAAAAATACCAACAGCAATCAGGGGCCATTTAAATTAGCCCTCAGCTACACGCCAAGTCCAGTTCACAACGTCTGAAGCTGTCTCAGAAATAATATCACCAACTTCCTGAAAGACACCTTTCGTCACCTCATTAGAGACCACCAAATCAGGAAGCAGCTCTTTAGCCCTCTGTGGAGCTTTGTCGGTTTTTAGAAATGAGCATCCTTCACTCATATTGTACAAATCCCTCCACGACAGCAGCTCGCGGAAAGGATTCAAATCATCCGCTAACTTCCCCTCTGGGTAAATCTCGAGCCATTTTCTCTGCCACCAGTTTACTGGCTTTACATACTCAGGGCATAGGCTCGCCCTGACTCTCAAAAACATCCAGTTCCATGTTGCATAATTCAGCGTGGGGTGGTCTAATGAACTCTCTGGTTCTTTACCATAGTGCTGCGCCTCTACGTCAACGGAGTGTAACCCATATCCATTTTTCACCACATGACCGGCAACGAGCTACCTGGGCTGATGAATATTAGCCACCTGTTTCCCTAAACACTCGGGATAGGCTTTAACTTGTGTATGTTGTGCAGTGCGATTAAAAACACCGTTATCTGTGAGAAATAACCTTTCCACAAAATCCTTTTCCCAAACCCTTTCCTGGCTCAGGGAACTGTGAGGATAATAGACGTAATTAAACAACTTCTGGAACCACCTGCTGTCTGATGCGTGTGCAGGAGCTTCATAATAACCCCCAAAACACCCCCATTGGTTGACATTGTAATAAGTGTCATTGGGATAGTCAGAGATGCCACAGGCTCTCAGAGCCCCATATTGTATTCCTTCTCTAGTCAGACTTAAGGTCACATAAGGATGGTCTAAAGTCCTCACTGCGTTTCTCTAGAGCCCACATCATAGAGCCCCACTGAGCTAAGAAAAATTCCCGCATGTATTTATCTATGTAGTTAGTCCCTTTGTCGACCAGTCTCCTACTCTCCCTGTACCAGCCTTCTTCCATACACTCTTGTGCAGATGGGAAGTACCATGAATATTTGCTACATCCAAACAGTAGTGCACTGTAAACAACTGCGTTTCATCAGGGCTCTAAGGGTCGTCTGGTTAACTAGTGCACCTGAACCCATCATTTTCTTTAAATTATGAACCCAAAACAATGAGTTGTTCCTAAATATCCTGATTAGCCTATTATCTGCATTTCTAGAACTTTTATTTCTCCAGGGCCCAAAACATTCTTGATAGGTTTCGTTCCATACTTTGCTGAATGAAACATTAACCTCTTGGTCTTGTAAAGGGTTACATTTAAATTTATTTAATGAGCCATAAGACATGAGATTCCATAGTAAATATGAAATAAATCTTACGGATCTTTGGGTACATTTAACCAGAAGATTAGAACTTTTTATTGCAGGGATTATGTAACACTTCTTATTAACTGAGACAAGAGAAGAGAGAGACACCTTTAAAACGTTTAAGAAGATTTATTTCTAAACAATTTTAAACAAGACTAACTAAATTCTAAGTGAATGGATGGATCTTGGTGTGAATGAGACGTGAGATGAATGGTGTATGTGTGAGTGATGTTGTCCTCAGAACTCTTGTATCCGGAGAAGCAAGTCTGAATGATGTTGTGATGTTTTGCTCTTAAGCTATGATCGGAGTTTCATAAACGCATGAGACACCATTTTGTCGCTCCACACAAACCCTTCAGGATGAGACCTCCGTACAGATCCAGAATGCCAGGTCCTTGGACCTCCCCTTTCAGTACCGGAGCCGATGAAACAGCGTCAGCAGTATGACAGACTAGTCTTTGGATTGTCTCCAGGTAAAAAGCGACAGTTGGTTGACAGCATCAGATGGACCCGGAGGGTCAGTGAGTTCAGCTTTTATTCTGAAAGGAACCGTTGCTTGGTTGGTAAAATGCAACAGATTTTATCCAGCTTGTTGGTTCTTTGCTTAAAAAGGGAGTCCGGGTGGCCGGTCCAATACTTCTCTTAGAATGCGGTGAACTGACTTAAGATGTAAGATGATTTGTATCTAGATTTCTGCGTGCGTGTCTAGATTTGTGTGTGTGTATTTAGATTTTTGCGTGTGTATCAAGACTTGTGTGTGTGTATTTAGATTTGTGTGTGTGTATCTAGATTTGTGCATATGTATCTAGATTTGTGCATGTGTATCTAGATTTGTGTGTGTATCAAGACTTGTTTGTGTGTATCTAGACTTGTGTGTATGTATCTAGATTCATGCGTGTATATCTAGATGTGCATCTAGATTTGTGTAAGTGCATCTACATTTGTGTTTGTGCCTCTAGATTTGTGTGTGTATCTTGGTTTGTGCATGTGGATCTAGTTTTGTACATGTGTATCTAAATTTGTACGTGTGCATCTAGATTTGTGTATGTGCATCTAGATTTGTGTATGTGCATCTAGATTTGTGTGTTTGTATCTAGATTTCTGCATATGTGTCTAGATTTGTGTGTGTGTGTATATTTAGATTTGTGTGTGTATCTAGATTTGTGTGTATATATCTCGATTTGTGTGTCCGTAACTAAAGATTTGAGTATGTGTATCTAGATTTCTGCATATGTATCTAGATTTGTGTGTGTGTATCAAGACTTCTGTGTGTGTATATCTAGATTGATGTGTGTATCTAGATTTGTGTGTGCGCATACTAAAGATTTGAGTATGTGTAGAGATTTTTGATTTGAGATTTCTTCGTGTGTATCCAGATTTATGTGTGTATCTATATTTGTGTGTGTGTATCTAGGTTTGTGCATGTGTATCTAGGTTTGTGCATGTGTATCTAGATTTGTGCATGTGTATCTAGATTTGTTTATGTGTCTCTAGATTTGTGCTTGTGTATAAAGAATTGTGTGTGTGTGTATCTAGACTTGTGTATGTGTATCTAGATTTGTGCATGTATATCTATATTTGTGTGTGTTTCTAGATGTGTGTGTGTATATATCTAGATGTGTGTGTGCGTAACAAAAGATTTGAATATGTGTATCTAGATTTCTGCATGTGTATCTAGATTTTTGTGTGGAACTAGATTTATGCATGTGTATCTAGATTATTTGCGTGTGTGTCTAGATTTTTAGCATGTCTATCTAGATTTGTGCATGTGTATCTAGATTTGTGTTTGTATCTAGATATGTGTGTGTATCTAGATTTGAGCGTGTCTCTCTAGATCTGTGTGTGTGTGTATCTAGATGTGTGTGTATATATCTAGATTTGTGTGTGCGTAACTAAAGATTTGAGTATGTGTATCTAGATTTTTGCATGTGTATCTAGATTTGTGCATGTGTATCAGATTTGTGTGTGTATCTAGATATTTGTGTGTATCTAGATTTTTTTGCATGTGTATTCAGATTTGTGCATGTGTATCTAGATTTGTGCGTGTGTATCTAGATTTTTTGTGTGTGTTTGTGTCTAGATTTTTTGCATGTGTATCTAGATTTGTGGATGTGTATCAGATTTCTGTGTGTATCTAGATATGTGTGTATCTAGATTTTTTGCATGTGTATTTAGATTTGTGCGTGTGTATCAAGATATTTTGCATGTGTATCTAGATTTGTGCGTGTGTATCTAGATTTGTGTGTGTATCTAGATATGTGTGTGTGTGTGTCTAGATTTGGGCGTGTGTGTCTAGATTTTTTGCATGTGTATCTAGATTTGTGTTTGTGTCATATAATTTTTGGGTTCTAAAGTTCCAAGCATGGAGTCGAAGTTGTTTAATCAGTGAACAGACCTTTAGAGGATCAGAGTCTTTGACTATGGTAACAGGCCCAGTGAACTAAACACATATGGATCTGAAAGACCTTGTATTCTGTTTTAACACAGCATTGTAGTTAATCCAGACCCCAATCCCAATCTAAATCCAGGGTTTCCCACAGAAAGTACCTGGCCTGTTTTTCCTTTGATCTTTAAACCATTTAGGTTGAACATAAAGGAGCTGTTTTTCTTCCTGATTGTCAGTTTTGTTTTCTGTAGGTGTGGTGTGTGGATTCTGATGACCAGCAAAACAATAACTGGACAATTGGCAGTAATCAACACAACCTGGAAATCTCTAATCTGAAACCAATGACCCAATACTGGATCACCATTGCTGCTGTGAATGGAGCTGGCGTGGGTGTTGCGAGCGACCCTCGTGGATTCATCATCAGTAAGCATGACACCATTCTGCCTCAGTTCCTATTCGTTCATGTTTACTAGCATTCTCCTGTTGTTCTTCAGACCCACAGCTAAGGATCCTCCCAGATGCTGACAGCCACGCTCAAAATCTGTCTTCTGCATTGGACCAGCTTCAGAACCCAGCAGTCATTGGCAGCTTTGGCGCCATGTTGTGGTGTGTTCTGGTGGTTGCAGCTATTTTCCTGTTAAAACGCTGTAGCAATATTGGTTCTCTAGTACCTAAACCCAACAGAGCTAAAGGTGGGTCAGAACTGGTCCTGTGTTCAGGTCTGTTAAACAGAATGGAATCCTTTTGAATGTGGCTTTGATGGTGAATTTATTCTGCAGGTCTGAGCAGACTGAAAGGTGAGGACTTCATCATAAAACACAGGTGTGTGTGGTGGTGGTGGTGGTGGGGTAACCTTTTAAGAGTTAGATTTACTCACATTATTGTAATTAGGGAGTCATTTTGTTTACTTACTTTTAAAACCGTTCTTACTTTGAATTTTCACTTTTGTTTAAGTGTGTGTCATACTCAATATCAGTTGCGATTTAAATGAGACAGATTATTAATTTTTTTAACAATAAAAAACTAATTATTAATAGAGGAGGGAAATGACAAACCCCCGGAGTGGTCTGTCCATTACCAGGTTGGAGACAGTCCCATGGATTTAAAATTTTTGATTAATATTTGCAACTGTAGTCATCCACAAAGAGGATATTATCTCCTAAGACAACTCTTATTTCGGTTCCTCTGGTCCATGCTGAGTGTGGTACACACCATGTCACCAAACAGCACAGTGACTACCCGGAGCCCTATGTATAGGCCCACTGACTGTCGACCGTTGTGATGCTAGTTGGTGGACACACCTTGAATTAACATGTCCCTTTGGTCACATGGTCTTTTAGAGGGGTACCATTTTTTGTCCAGGCCTGCTCCATGAGTTTATCTTTTAAATATTTCCATTCAGTCGCTTATCCGGAGTTGGATCGAGGGGGCAGCAGCCTAGGACGAGAGACCAAGACTTCCCTCTCCCCAGCTACTTGGGCCAGCTCCTCCATGGAATCCCATGGTGTTCCCTGTCCAGCCTAGAGACATAGTCCCTCCAGCATGTCCTGGATCTATCCTTGGGTCTCAACTTGGTCTCAAAAAGCAGAGACCTGATCCGTAGGCCACCTTTGCTGTGCCCAGAAATCCTGTTCATATTAGTTATGATAAGAATCAGTGATAAAGGATAACCTTAGTGGAGTACAACTCTCACATGAAACGAACTCGACTTACTGCCGGCAATGCGGACCAAGCTCTGACACCGGTCAGACTGGGACCTAACAGCCCATTTCAGAGGGCCTGGTACCCCATACTCCCAGAGCACCCCCCACAGGCCCCCCAAAGGTCAAACACCTTCTCTAAATCCACAAAACACATGTAGATTGGTCCGGCAAACTCCCACACACCCTCCAGGACCCCCTTAAGGGTATAGAGTTGGCCCAGTGTTCCACGGTCAGGATGAAAACCGCATTGTTCCTCCTGAAGGTTCAACAATCCGACAATTCCCTGATTAGACCTTACAATGAAAGCTAAGAAGTGTGATCCCCCGTAGTTGTAACACACAGGAGACCACGGTCCCCCTTTTTAAATAGAGGGACCACCGCCCCAGTCTGTCAATCCAGTGGAACTACCCCCAATGTCTACATGATATTGCAGAGCCACGTCAACCAACACAACCCCACAACACCCAGAGCCTTAAGGAACTCCAGGTGGATCTCACCCACCCCCAAAGCCTTGCCACCAAGGAGCTTTTTGACCACCTCAGTGACCTCGGCCCCAGAGATTTGAGTCCAATCCAAAGTCCCCAGACTCCGCGTCATCACTGACAGATGTGTTGGTGGGATTGAGGAGGTCTTCAAAGTTTTCTGCTTACCGAACCACAACGTCCTGATTAGAGGTCAGCAGCACACTGTCTCTACTATAAACTGTGTTGGTAGTGCACTGCTTGTCCCTTCTGAGATACTGGATGGTGGACCAAAATCTCCTTGAAGCCATACGAAAGTCTCGCTCCATGGTCTCACTGAACTCCTCCCACCCCCAGGTTTTTGCCTCCGCTACCACCTGAGCTGCATTTCACTTGGGCTGCCAGTACTCATCAGCTGCCTCTGGAGTCTCACAGGCCAAAAAGACTTGATAGGACTCTTTCTTCAGCTTGAAAGCATCCCTAGCCGCCGGTGTCCACTAGCGGGTTTGGGGGTTGCCACCACGATAGGCACTGACAACCCTGCAGCCGCTGATCTGGTCAGCCACTTCGATAATGGAACCACGGAACATAGCCCCCTCGGACTCAGTGTCCCTCGCTTTCCTCTGGACATGTTCGAAATTCTGTTGGAGTTGGGAATTGAAGCTCCTTCTGACAGGAGACTCTATCAGATGTTACCAGCAGACCCTCACAAAACATTTAGGGCTGCCAGATCTGACCGGCTTCCTTCCCCACCATCGAAGCCAACTTACCACCAGGTAGTGGTCATTTGACAGCTTCACCCCTCTCTTTACCTGAGTGTCAAAGACATGCGGCCGCAGATCAGACATACACTGAAGTCAAAACACCGCTCAGATTCAGATCAGGAGGGGCATTCCCAACCACACCTCTCCAGGTCTCACTGCTATTGCCCACATGAGAAAAACAAGGGAGTCACTGGAAGAAGCGCTCTCTACCACTCCAAAAAAAGGTGGGTAATCTTAGCTGCAGTTTGGTGCATAAGCACAAAGCCCAGTCAGGACACGTCCCCCACACCTAGACAGATGGACGCTACCCTCTCGTTCACTGGAGTAAACCCCAATGTATAGGAACCATGATGAGGGGCAACAAGTATGCCCACTCCTTCTCAGTACCTCTCAGTGGGAGCAACAGAGTGGTAGAAAGTTCAACCCTTCTCGAGGAAATTGGTTCTGAAACCAGAGCCATGCGTTGAGGTGAGACAAACCATACCTAGCCAAAACCTCACACATCAATTCCGGCTCCTTCCCCACCAGAGAGGTGACATTCCATGTACCGAGAGCTAGCTTTTGTAGCTGAGGATCAGACTGCCAAGGTCCCTGCCTTCGGCTATCACACGACACATTGCAGACATTGTGGACAGCTACAAATACCTTGGTATCCCAGATGAGAGTATGAGAGGAAGATAAGAAGCCTGTGGAAGTGGCAGACGTGTTTACTTCAGCTCCTATTTTTGTGCTCTAATTCCTCTTAAAACCTGTTTTCCTGTCACCAATCTCTGGATTCTGTAAATTTTGTTGGACCTTTGTTTATTTTTTGGATTATTTGACTTATTGGACCTTTATCTGAACTACAAATATTTCAGATCTGACAGAGGCAGCTCAGCTAAAGTGTAAGCAACCTTGAAGCTATCTTGAAGGCCTGTCCTCCCTTTCCTTCTGCACCACAATGACGGGTTTATCTTTCTAAAGCAAATAAAATAATTGAAAACCTTAAAGAGGATATATGATGACTCTGCTGAACTGCAAAAGAAGGAAATGCTGCTGGATAGTTGCAGATCTCGTATCCCTGTACTGTCTGAGACCGCTGTTAGTCAGTTTGAAAATAAAACATCCATGCAGAACGCTGCTCCAGTCCATGTGACCATGAAAAGAGATGTCCAGACCAATTTTCATCTTGGTCAGAGGTTGTGGTACTTGGCCGTAGGAGAGCCCCCGTTGTTGATCCCATCCCCCCACTTGGCAACAGTCTTTCAAACCGCTTCTCTCCACTTGCTTAGGAACAAGTGTCTGTAGAGTCTTCTGTAGGATGTATATAGATACAATTAAAAACATCCAGCCATCAGTAACTTTATTTTAACACCTGAACTTACATTTAAACTAGAACTATTTTCATTTCAGAACTTCAGTCTCCTGCTGCAAACCCAACACACATGAATGGGAAATGTGTCGTCATTTGTGTAATATCTGAAGTGTTTGTGTGTATAGTAAGAATGTTATCATGGCTGTCTGGAATATGAGAATGTACTTGGAACAACAGACTCATAGATACCTGGAACACATCCAAGCTGCTGATAAATGCTGTTTAGGTTTTTTAGGATGTGAGTTTGTCTCAGATCAGTGCTGTTGTTGGTTATCCTCACATAAAGTTTCTACTACTAACAGAATACCTGCTAATGTCTGTATTTTCAATCTGACTTGTAATAATACCATTAAGACTGGGATAAATGTTATTACTGCTTTGTAAAATTGAGATACAACAAAGAGGTGTGGTTGTTTATTTGATGTTAAAATGGTTCATGGTGTTCTTATGATCAACAAGAATAAACATACAATAAACACACAATCAACATTTCATCAGAAGAGTCTATCTTTTAGTGTTTCTGTATTTTCTGCATTAAACAGCTGGAGGTTTGTGGTGAACAATAGTTACTGAGTTAAGGGTTTACCACTGTAGGTAAAATAGGTGTAACAACCTGTGTAAAGGCACCAGAATGCAGGAAATTGCATCTACACCCTTTTTATCTTTTGTGCCCCCCCATCAGTCGTGTCCCCACATTTGTTATACTCCTGCTGTGCTGTCATGTCATCAGTGCTTATAGTGCTAACAGCTACTGCCCGGGTAAATGTTTCTGTTATGTTAAGGTCCAAACCAATGAATGAGGCAGATCCACGACAACCCAAGCAGAGTAGCAGCTACATGTGAAACATTTTAATTGTGGTGTACAGTAACATGACTTGTCTACTACAGGATGGCTACTCCAGAGTCTCCATGGATTTCTGACAGCTGGAATGTTTCTTTCAACAAGAGGCAACAGGACTTGTGGGCACAGAGTCAAAATCCTCATGTCAGCAGCACTAGTAAGTTTCTCCCATCAGGGAAAACAGACATCACTCGACCTTTTTATTTGACAAAGTCTGACTCAAGTCTTTCCAAAGTGTTGATTTTGTTGAGCACCTTAGTTCTTAATCCAGCAGAACACTATTTTTGCAGTAAGTCAGATTCCATAACTTGTGGAATTGTCCACAGTACCATCTGATCTGATCCTAGGTTCCTTCTAAGTCCAGAAATTTTGGGGGGAAAAATTCATAGTTTGCAATTGTAGCCCAGTCAGTATACACTAGCGATACTTCATTCGAACTTCATTCATTAGCGCTTCCAAAGTGTTAAATCATTTTTTAGCTAAACTAAAACACTTTTTTGTTCTCAACTCTTATTGTTGACGTCCCATAAAACGTCATAACTAATCTTTATGGACATGATTTAGCCCATAATAAGATAACTCTTCTAGCCTATCAGAGGTTAGAAAGGTGGGACCTTCGCATAACATCCTGGGTTTCAAAAATTAGCTTTCCATATCCTAGCAAACAGTTGCTGGAATGAAAATAGACAACACAATGATGCCAGTTTGTTCATGTCCCATCAGGCCTTCCCTTCTCATCTCAGAAGGACAGCAGTGTCCATGGTTTTTCCATCCCAGTTGGGCCTGACAGCTGTAGTGTCTATGGAACTTTTTATGTGGACCCGATGAGCAGTGGGATGAAGACCTTCAGCCGTCCTGGACACTGCTCTGTAATACCTCATGGTTTGCCTCATCAAGAAGGAACTGAGACCATTCGGATCTTCACCCCACCTGTTTCAAAGTCCCCGACCTGCAGAAGCTGTGAGGCTCTACCCTGGAAACAAGCCATACGTCCTCAGCCAAAGATGGGAATACTTAGAGAGTCCTTGGGGAAGAGGGACTGTGGCAAGCGAGGTCAGTATTGGTGTAAAGTTAGAAATGCTGACATTTTGTGGGAGGGGGTTGGATTAGAGTACCTATTATTTGATTGCCATACTTTTGGTCACTAAAGATTTAACCTTCTAATTGCAGAGTTACATGCAGTGAGCAGTGTTCCTGTTCCATTCTCCTTGGCCAAAACCAATTCCCCAGCTGCTTTCAAGCAAAGATTCAGTCACATGCCAGCAGGATGCCATGGTACTTCATCTGTGCATTGTTCAGGCATGCAGGGAGACAGGCGGGCAGAGCCCAAAAGGCTACAGCAATAGATTTAGTGGGAAAATGTGTGTAGTCATTAACAGAGACAGTCTTAGTATTAGGTTTGGTCCATTGATTGAGTCTTTTAACCCTCCCACTGTCCTAATGGGTGTGACCCCATGAGGAACGTTGGCCATTGAGCAGGGTTGATGGTTTATCCCTTGGGTCCATGTGGCAAGGGTGAGGAGTGAGCACCACCTCCCCAGAAAGACAGTGGGGGGGGGGGGGGGGGGGGGGGAATTTTTTTCACTGCAGGAGGCAGAGTTGAGCTGTTTAGTGGTATACAGCTGGTTGACAGACAGCTCAGCAGAGTGAAGCAAGGAAAACTGATACAGAAGCAGAAATGCCCAAGCAGGTAGTCAGTACATGACAAGTGCAGAGTCTTGGAAATAGAACTGAATGACTAAAATACCAGTGTGGTTTTAATAAATAAAAGTGTCTGCCTTTTCTGAAGTCCAAATACAAATCTGTTTAATTTTACAGCATGCTTGTAAAAGCATGAGTGAGTAACTTTAGGTTATGTGTCCAGGCGGATGTCCAGATTGTGGTGATGCTGCTGTTAGTTCTCGCTCGCTGCATTACTCTGCATCATTGCACTTAGTGGACAACTCACCTCCACCAACAAATCCTACAGAAGACTCTACAGACAGAAACATGTTCTCCTCAGATGGAAGGTAAGACATGGTGCATGGAGTCGAGGCTGCCACTTACAACCGTTTTCCTTACTGAACATGGCTCAATCTTGACTAAGTTTAGTTCAGTGTGGATTGTTTTTCCATATCAAACTAAGATATTGTAACGTGTTAAAACAGTTACTCTTAATACATTTTCAATAAAATATAAAAGTATTCAAGAAAATGTAATATTCCATGAAAATATGGATAATAAATGTAACTGAACCTTAAATGTTTGATTGATGATATAATTAGGTAGTTTGGGTATGCCAGGGAACCAACACTTTATCATAATTTGACACAGAGGCAACAATATAGTTTATAAAAATCTATGTATTACTATGTTTCTACTACTATGATGATGCAGAACAAATGATTATAAATGATGATTTAAGGTATTATCCACTGAGACAATGAATAAACTCTGGTAAAACATTATCTTGGACATTAAGAGCCTAATCACTTGTCTTAGAAAAATGTGATGTCTGGGTTTCTAAAATTGTTTGGCCAAATGTTTAATTGGTTATCAAATTAATGTAAACCCATGCAATGCCAGTGCAGAGCTACGGTTTACCCATGTTCTGGGGTTCACGGCGATCTGGCTGTATGGCGAAGTCAACTCTACACGGCTGTCGAATGGAATTCGACTTCTGGTATCTAAAATGTCGTAGCCCCTTTTAGAATATGAATCAGCTGGTCACAAGATACCCCTTGGGTCTGCTGGCAGGTCGCCCCATGTCTGATTGGCTGTTTTGCAGGTTAAGCAAATAAGTTGTTTGATTTGGAAAAAGGACGGTCCTTGCACCTAAAAGTATCCCGTTGTAAGATCTGACATCTTGTCCCCCTGAAATGTCAACAAGGACTGCAGAATCTTCTGGGCTTGTTGGAAGATAGAATGTAAAATCCACTTTAGAGAATGGAATTGTGTCTGCAGATGACCAGTGACATGTGGGTCAATATGTAGGTGAAAACTGACCATTTCTGGACGTTACACTGGTAACCAGTGTAGGGATCTAAGAACAGGAGTGATGTGCTCCGTTCTCTTAGTTCTTGTTAAGACTCTAGCAGTAGCATTCTGAACAAGCTGCAGTTGTTCACAGCTTTTTTGGGAAGACCAGCTAGGAGACCATTGCAGTAGTCCAGCTGACTAGAAATAAAAGCATGAATGAGTTTCTCCAAGTCTGGTCTGGACATGAGACCTCTGACTCTTGATGTTTGATGAAGGTGATAAAACACTGATTTAGTTGTGGTAAAGAGTTCCACAGATGAGGTGCTGCAACCGCAAATACCCCATCTCCTCTAGTTTTACATTTTGTGCTGGGAACAAACAAGGTCGATTACCAGAGGACCTTAGCAATCTGGAAGGGCAATAGGGGACAGACAGGTCAGATTTTCCTTCAGTCTTTGTGGGAATGTTCTCGGCACAATGGTGTAAAGTCCTGATCACTGACATTTTGTGCTCCAGTGGGTGATGTGAATCCAAATGCAGATACTGGTCTGTGTGAGTTGGTTTCCTGTAGACTTCAATGCTGAGACATCCATCTTGTTCAATTTGCACAGCACAGTCCAAGAAGGGCAGCTGGTTGCTGTGGGCATCTTCCTGGTGAACTTGATGTTCTTGTCCACAGCATTATTGTGCTTGTCTTCTACTTCCTTCGTGAGACTTTTGACCCATGTTGGGTACACCGAGCCACTGGTTCAGGTATGTGGATGGCACATAGGTCAAAATTCTCAAACTAAAAAATGAGTCTGGTCCGGTTTATTTTGGACCTTCCTGGGGAGCTGGTGACGTCATCACCCCGAAATAAAACTTGTAATATCTCAGAAACCGTGGCAGCACAAACCAGCACTTAAATTGAGACAAGTCTGGACCGTTTTGGTGCAGTCTGGGAGGATGGTGAGCTGTGAATGACCTATAAAATTAGTTGTAACATCTCAGAAACCAAAGCAGCACAAATGATCATTTTACCTGCACTAATCTGCAAAAACGAAGCACTAACCATGCGGCCTATTTGCTTTTAGTTTTCAAGTGGGTTGGGGGTCAACTTCACGGAGGTCAGATGCGCTCGTTGTGGCTTTGCGCCACAAATTCTTTCTAAACGCGCAAAAGGCGCATCACTGCTGTGAAGCGCATCACACACACGGCACCATCAGCTCCCGTCAGCTCAGGCAAGAGGAGAGAATAAAAAGAGACGAGTTTTCGGACACCATGCAGGTTCCTGCCATGACGGCACGCAGCACCTGACCAACCAGTGGTCAGATGTGGAAGAGATGGCATCCAAACAGAAAGAAAGAAAGAAAAAGTCAAAACCAGAGGAAGAGTGTGCTGTTGGAACAAAAGAGAAAAACTTTGTGGGCATAAACATCCCATCTGCTGTACATGAGACAGAAGAGACAATAATTGTGTCTGGATGTGGACTGAAGATCGAATTGTACCACAGCATCATTGTCATTCATTAAATTATATTCAAGTTTATTCATAAAGCACCAAATCGGGACCAGAGTCGTCTCAAGGACCTTCACATAGTAAACATTCCAACACAGGTCAGTTCATTAGTTCATTAAGCCAATCAGTAAAAAGTATCCTATATAAGGAACCCAGCAGGTTGCATCGAGTCACTGACCAGTGTCAGAGTATTTACAGCAATCCTCATACTAAGCAAGCATGCAGGGACAGTGGAGAGGAAAACTTCCTTTTAACAGGAAGAAACCTCCAGAAGATCCTGGCTCATGGATGTTCTAGGTTTTGGTGTGAAAATAAGTCCAGGACTACAAATGTGCTTCACGAAAGTGACGTCATCTAACCAGACACGGAGAAATATTTATGGTTGTTGTTTTTAGCCCAAATAGTATTTTTTATTACCTTGTTTTATTGAACATTTCAGTGCTGTTTTTATGGAAGCTGTGCCTCTACGTATGTTGTTTATGGCACTGTGTCAGATGAGGCTTACGTATGTGATCTCGTCATGCTTTGCATAATGACAATAAAGAATTCAAGTCAATTATCCCAAACACCTAAAAATAACCTTTGATCTTCACAGTCACAGATTACAACTGAGCATCTTTCATACTGCATAAATGTGGAGTTCATTACAAATAAAAGGTAGTAGTAGTAGTAGTAATAGTAGTAGTAGTAGTAGTAGTAGTACATGCAACAACTTCAGACCAAAGTGGGTGATCAAGTACTTTGACCTGTTACCTTCTCAGTGGCGTAGTGGTAGTGTGTCTGCCCTGGGACTGGGGGATCAGGGTTCAAATCTCTGTCGGACTTTAACAGTGAGACCCAACGTCTCCCTGCTTGACACTTTAAGGGTTGGACTGGGGGGTTAAACCACCAAATCCTTCCTGAGCGTGGCCACCGCTGCAGCTCACTGCTCCCCACGGTGATGGGTCACATGATGCTGTTTCACCAGTGTGTGATAATGACTGTGGGACTGTAACTGTAATTGAAGTCTGAAAAGTGTCTGGTTGGTACTTAATGATTTGAGGTTTGAAGCAAAACCCTTCATGCAACTTTATTCTTTACTCAATTCTACGACTCTAATACGAAGATCAATTCCCATATTTGTTCTATATTTGGGAAGATTAAGGTGTCCTGCATAACCTGATTTTATCTGATAGTGCTGATTCAAGAAACGAAGTGATTTACTTTTTATAGACTGATCGAAGTTGCTCAAGAGACATAAAACTATTTGAATGTTCTCATTTCCAGCCAATCCACCAAGCTAACAGAAGACACAAGCTCATTCCATTCAGTACCTCCATCATCAGGACACTATGGGCAGCTTGGATCTTACAGCCTATCCCCAGCATCATGCTTCATGCTGCTGGACAATGAGCAGGATGACACTGACCACACTCTGACCTCCCAGGAGGCCACACATTACCTGGAGCTCAGTTCCACACCTGATAGGAGCAGGTACACAGATGCTTACAGATTATTACAGATGTTGATGCATACATTTCTTGATGTGCCACCACTCGTCTTCTCTGAGCAGCCTCTGTGATCCGATCCGGTCAGCTGAACTGGAGGATGACAGCGCTGAGCCTCGAACAGTCATGCTTCGTCATCCCTGCCTTCAGAGCTCACCCACATCTTGTTGCAGTGACTGGGAGGGCTCTCTGTGGAACACCTGGAGCTCGGTCATGGACAACAGGCTGGACAGTACCCGCACCAGCCTCATCAGCTCTGTGGACAGCTGCTACACCAGTGACAGCGCCACATTTGCTCGTCTGCTGGCTGTGGCGGCTCACACCATTACTGGAGTTTCTCTAAACGGTAGGAAGAGGAGTTACCTTTAAAGCTAAAATGCTGCATAATGGATGCTTGTTGGCTTTGCCTTTGTTAAAGATGTGTTTTGGTTACTTATTTTGGATAAGGTAAATATTCTCTGTGAACATTAATCGTTTGATTGAAAGTTTCCTCAGTTCTTCCTTCTTTGTGCACATTAAATTTCTCCTTGAAAATTTCTAAACCTTTTACTAAGTCTTTAGTAAGTAAGTACATTTTGTTTACACTGAACAAAATTATAAATGCAACACTTTTGTTTTTTCTCCCGTTTTCATGAGATGAACTCAAACATCTGAAAAAGTGTCTGCAAACACAAAACACTCATGACTCACAAATATTGTTCTTAAATGTGTCTACATGTGTGTTAGTGAGTACTTCTCATTTACCAAGATAATCCATCCCACCTCACAGGTGTTGCAAAACAAGGGGCTGATTAGACAGCATGAATAATGTACAGGTCTGCCTTAGACTGCCCACAATTCAAGGACACCCTGGCATGCGCAGTTTGATCAAACAGCACAATGCCACAGATGTCATAACCTTTGCGGGAGTGTGCAATTGGCATGGTGACTGCAGGAATGTCTACCAGAGTCTTACCCCGATTTCACACTGCAAGCATCAGCGGAACAGAACAGCAGCGGAGCAGCTCACTGACAAACTTCAAAGCGGTCCTTTTCACACCGGAAGAGTCTTGGCCACGGCACGGCTTCCTCGCTGCGCATCGCTGTACCCGCGAGATTCTAAAATCCCTCGAGACTTCCGACACCTTCCTCATCGAGAGATCACAACCCCCGCGAGGAATCACACCGTTGCACTTCTCGAAAGAAACTGGTGGTAAACAAAGCCGTTCGGTCACACGTGCTGACATAAGTTATATATAACATTGCAACGTTGCATTTTATTTTGAAAATACCTGGGGATTTTACACTGAAACCGTGTGTGGCTTCCTGTCTCGCACTATGTGAACTGCGTAAATTGACGTGTCCCAGAAGCAGCTCGGGGAAAAAATAGAACTCGATCCTATCTTTAGCGGTGCCGCATGCTGCTTCTGGGACGTGCCTGGAAATTGCTGCATCGCCGCTGGTTTGAAACACTTCATAGATTATAATTGGATTCTATTTGAAGAGGTGCCGCTTTGCTGCCGTTCGTTCCACTGATGCTTGCAGTGGGAAACCGGGGTTAGGTTGTGTGTGTATGTGTGAGCATGAAGGAGGGAGTGTGTGACTGTGTATGACTGTATATGTCAGGTGGAGCCTTTGACTCCTCCCCTCTCTTGGGACTTCTTTTGATGCTATATATCTTCCCCTCCCCTCCCCCTGCCACACTCCGTGTGGAGTACAGTGCCTTGGACTGCCTGAGTGTTCGCGGCTCCCGGGTCAGGGGGTTTAAGATTTTTGGCGTCTGCCTGATTAATTCCGATGGCTGCCTGGTGGGATCTGGCTCCCTGGGCTCTTCTGGGTCCCCGGCGGTGCTGGTCGTTGGCGACTTAGTTCTGGGCTCGGCCGGCTTGGGGGTGGGAGGCTGCAGGCGGGCCTGTGGACTTGCCGCTGATATCTCGCGGGACTCTGCCAGCTGCTGGTTGTGGCCCCCCGGGGCAATCCTCTGTGCCTCTCGAGGGGGGCTGTGGCTTTTCTGGTCGCAGTCTCCCTGGGGTCCCTGTGCTCTGGGGCAGCTCCTGGATCTCTGGGACTTGGAGCTTCCTCCATCTCCTATATATCTTTGGGGGGCAGATCTGTGGCCCCTCACACTCTCTATTGGACGCTCCTATAGAGAAACCTTACACATACAGGTGTGTGTACACACACAGGTGCTCAAGTGGTGATCTCATAAGTACGAAATTGGGCACGTCCAACACATGTCTTAAGGCTGTGGTTGGCACTAAATGCACTGTGATTTATTATCGTGTGATTGTTCAGTAAAACAATGTTGGTTTTATATTTTCTCATCAGGTTGACACAGTGATAGCTTGCTCTTGTTGTATTGTTGTGTGTTGTTTTTCTCTTTCTGCAGGTCTAGATGCAGACTCTTGTTCATCATTGATTGTTTATTTTTGTGATGTGACACTGTTTGCTTTGTGCTCCATGAAAATGTGATTTGTTTATTGTAAGGTAAAATCTTCTTGATTCTGTTAGCCTAAAATATTCAGTCCAACATAGTATTGTTTTGTCTCCAGACTTGTCTCTACCTGCTTCGCCTTTGAGCACCTTGGACCCATCATTTTGTGCAGGCCATGGTGCATTTGGGGACCTGGAGCCCATTCCTGCATGGGACTGGAGCAGACTCTGGATGGAAGAAATGGATGCCCAGTACAAAGTCAGCTATCCTGCCAGAAACACCCAATCCTTGGACACTTAAAGGTTCTGCTGGGACTGGGGCCGAACTGCACAGATTACCTTTCAGACAGATGTGTCAAGGTCCAGGCCCAAGATGAACCACATTAAGCTCTGTATATCTGGAACACAAGAACTCATTATTTGGATTTTAACCAGCCAGCAAGTGCCCAGCACAGAAAACAGAAAAGCTAAATTCCCAGAATGCACTGAAATAGTCACACCTCTCCAACCTTACCCGCTCAGTTAACCAGTGGAGTTGTCCAGAAAGGGAGACATCGGCTTTTTGTGCTTTCGGGCATTCTGATGAATGATTTGTTCTCTAAAACCTGAACATAACTTTCCACAGAGGAGAAGCAGATAATTTCCCTTCAGATAAACCTACAGGTCCTTCTGACTGTCACGCCTGTCCTGTCTCCCTACTCTGTTCAATCCTGTGTCTCCTGATTACTCCCACCTGCCTCTCGTTTTCCAATCACCCAAGCTCCAAGCCCTCATGTATTTAAACCCTCTCAGTTCTGTGTGTCTTGTCGGTTCTTTGTTTTGTTGTCCTGCGTGTTTTATTAAAACCCTTTTGAATGTCCCGGTCTGTTTGCCTGCCTGCTTCCCCTGCATTTGGATCCTCATCTCCGCTCACCACACCTCCACGTCATGACAATGGGTATCCAGAAGATTGTGTGATAGCGTTGGGAAAGTCCGACAAAGCTATTTGTCCAGCAGCTTCCCCCGGCTAGGGATATCGTGTTCTTCCCTGTACCAAAACAATTCCATGTTTAACTTCCCTAGTGACACCATCTGGAAACAAAGTCTAAATAATCTCCCATGTTTACAAGGAGCTGAAACTCCAAGGTCCATGCAGAAGATGAGACTTTTACTCTGAATAAAATTATTCTTATTTTGGTCTCACAAAATTATTTCTTTCAATCAGGTTGTTTACAATCATATTCTATGTTATCTACAATGAGTGTTCTATCTAATGTGATTTAATAATTATTAATTATTTAACATAAATGTTTATTATTTCATGATTTATTTCAGATTTTAAATACACTAAATTAGTCTTCTTGATGATTTAATAATGATTTTTTTATCAGTTACATTCACATAATAATATCAGTATATTAACAAATTAATGTATAACAGATTTACTCCGTATATTAAATGAAATTAGCTTTCTAAGAGTCTCAGAAAGGGGAGTGTTTGAGGTTTATCCAGTTTATTTAAAGCCAAATAAATCTGGCAGTCATCTGCGTAAAGGTGGTAACCTATTCTAAGATTAGCTAAAATCATTCCCAGTGGCAACAGATAAATTGAGAAGAGGAGTAGCCCCAGAATCAAACCCTGAGGCACACCCCAGTGTAGCGTACCAAAGGTAATGTATTTCATGAAAATGAACAGAAATTAAATTTTAATTTGCAGACACAAACTGTGTAACACATCCAGGGATGTATTACATCTGTCTGGCCTCCAAGAAAGAAAAACTGGAATATGCGATGTGCAATTGACCAAGGAAGCTAAAATATCTTTTTTCAATGTCTCAGGCAGAAGATGAGACTCCTGCATTTTCACTCTGAATAAAGTTCATCTTTGAATCATAAATGAATTTACAACTTATAGGTTGAAATAATCAAATGTAATGAATGAATACGATGTTTGAATCCTAAAATGTTTTAATAATCTGTGCATTTAATCAAGGATGTGTTTAAAATGAATATTTTTCCTGCAATGTTTCACTTTAGATCTTAAACTACACCAGAACTGTCTCTTACTGAATGTGTAAAAATATGGGAATGTTTTTCACAAAATCATACAAGACAACAGCAGACCCAGATATCATAGCTTCAGGAGAAAAACTTCATATTGTCCAAAAGTACAAATTCTTAGGCATCCAAGTAGATTCCAAATTAAACTTCAAGTCACGTGTGAAGGAAACTTGTAAAACAATAAAATACAACTTAGCCAACTTCTGATATATCCGCAATTCCATGTCCATTGGGGCTGATAAAACATATGTGCACTCAAAGATCTCCCACATCACCTACTGTTGGACAACCTGGTCCCAGGCAAACTCCACAACTCTGAAACCTCTACAGTCCCTTTACAGACAGACATGTAAAGTGCCTGATAAAAAGCCAGAACACTTCCACCACTGTGCCATCCTAACAAAGTATAGGCTCTTAGTTGGGAAAACCTTATTCAGTTCACAAATGCATGTGAAATATACAACATTTTACATGGAATGGCCCCTCCCCCTTGAATTAGAACATTGACACAGAGGCACTAGAGGAGCGTCCAGTGGTGACTGTATAGTCCCTCTTAGGTCAGTCATCTTTCTGTCTTAGAGCAGCTCAGCAATGGAACAACACCAACCAGAGACATCTCCACAGACACCCTATTTCACCTGAAACACTGGCTCATCACTAATCAGACATGCCTACACTGACCTCCTGCTGCCCTCGTATGTTCTTAGGCTCATGTCCCTTATTACTAATAGTCATTACCACATGTTTTTACTAGCATTAATAGCGTCACTATTTTATCTACTTTTTTCAAATAATGTAAATAAAACCTGTTATAAGTTGCCTTGTAAACAGATTGTTGGTGATGTATGTTGATCCTCTTATTTTACTTTTGTGTTTTTACTGCTTGTGCTTGTTATTCTGTTGTTTTTATTATTATTCCTTCTTAACACTGTTTTCAAGCTGCTTCTTGCATTAATATGCTGCCTTAGTTACATGGCATAGATGTATTTGATAATGTTTTTATGTCCTCTCTAGGAAGTCGGATGTACAACTGGCACAGGACTATGGATGAAACTAGCCCCAGGCTAATTCTGGCATGGTTCAGCATGTTTGATGTTAATATACAGTCTCCTGATTAACAAATAAAAATGAGAAGAAAGAAATCAGTATTTGTTGGTTTAACAAGTTAATCTATCATTTTACTCATACACATTATGATAAGATTATTATTAATGTTTAACATTCACTTCTCACTTCACGCTAAGTGAACCCCTCTGAGTATCTGACCAAAGACGTGATTTTCTGAGGTATTTTTGGTAATGTTTTTAAATGTTTCAAATCCTGATTTGACACAATTATCAACAAGGAGTCGATAAAACAGAATTACTTCCTGATCTAATCAGTTTCCAGCTGCCTTCTGGTCTGGCCAAACCCGTGAGCAAGCATTTGAAACCATCCTCTCTTTTTATCTCAAGGTCCAAGCCTGTCCGCAATGCTTGCAAGTGACTACAGACACAATGGCTCTTTCAAGAGCCACCAAACAGCCGTAGACGCAAAATAGACTCTTCAGCTTCCTTCTGTTATCTGGAGATAACCCCGACTAGACGGGTTGTACTCTGAGCTGTCTACGGGCTTCGATACCAGAGGTCCACGCCATTGGCAGTGTCCATCTTGTCCTCCTGACCCCCTGGATCGCTTGGGGATCTTCACACAAGGGTGTGTAGACCGGTGTCGGTACAGGATCTGCTCGGGTGCAAGATCAGCTTGGGGTCCTTCGACTGCCGATGACGTCAAAGTAGTTGATTGGCTGAACATGAACCTTACGGAAGTTACGTAATCACGTTACGTTGGTCCAGGCAAATTTTTTCTGTTGGAAAGATGGACAACTTTTACAAAGAAATCCATCATTACCTCTTTGAAAATACACTTTTAGCATAGAGCTGCATGTATATTAGGGCTGAACGATTAACTGCATGTGCAATTAAATTGCGATGTGACAAAAGGAGATTTTCTTATCGCAAAGGCTGCAATTTGGCAGCGAGTGGTTAGCGCAATGCTAATATGCATGGAAAAACCCATAGGATTGCTAATGCTAATATCACAGATTACATTCTTACAAATTATGAATTAGAAACGTGCCAAATGATTACATTTGGAGTCTAATAGAAAGTAAAACTACCATCAATCAAATAAGTACAGACAGGTATTTTAGTAAAGCCAGAAAACTTTTTACTCCAGAGTTTTGGCTAGCAGCTATGAGCGTAAGAACTACGCATGGACAAGACATCAGAAACTCTAAACACAAAATACTTCAATAAACAGGACACTTTTTTTTCCTGCAAATACAATTTCACAGGTGTTGCTAATACCTATGATCCCTGTCTGCAATTATTCGGGTTTGCAGTAGAAAGAAAAAGAAAAGTTTACGGTTATAAAAAAAAGGGGGGGGGGGGGGGGGTAAAATATAAATAGTTGATAAAAGGTTTAAAAATCATATGCTTGGGTACCCATGTATTTCATTTACAGTTAGAGTCCAAGAAATAAAAGGTTTTCATGATTTAGAGTTCATTTACTGTGCAGAAACAATATGTTTAAATGTAACCTAAGTTGTCAGTTATCTTAATGTTGTATTGCCATTGGTTGTGCTGATGAGCCAGTCAATGTCACTCTCCTCTGTTATGGGGGCGGGACTAGTAGTGAAGTTTGTGTGAATCAGCAGAGCGGACACAGAAGCTAAGTCCGAAGAGAGAGATGTGGTAATGCGAACGTGGTGTGGATTTTGCATCTAAGTATATCATTGAGGTCGACTACCCGTGGTCCTGATATGACTTATTTGTGATCTGCAAGAGAAGCCGAAGGACGCTCTGAAAGTCGAGGGAGAGAGAGGTTTCTGCCTGGATGGCCCCTGCTGTTTTCTGGCCCCTGATTTGTCATCGCTACTGTTGAACAAGCTCCTAACGGCCCGTTTCTGATTTGCCCAGTAACGGACTCATTGGACTCGTGAGTACTAACAGGAACTAACGTGCACGTATTTTGTTTATTGCTCCGTTTGAGTGAAGCGGCCATCAGTTTTAGGCCTCACCGCACCCGAGCTTCGAATCAGGCCTGCAACAAGCACTGTGCTATAGGTGTAGTGTGTATAGGGTAAAGGGCTGTGTGTGTGTGAGTGTGGGCCCACTGTTACACATTTGATTCAACTGAGTAAGTGTGTATTTGTCATCAAAGGTATTTACAAAGGTTGAAATTCATTTCGTTTAAAGGTGTGAACAGTTGTAACCGAAATAACAGGCACCTAAGAAAGCTATTTTTGTTTTGAAAATCTTTTATTATAACCCATGCCGTCACCTTTACAGTGGTTTTGTTTTTTTATTTGGATTCAATTAATTTCATTTTATGAAAGTAAGTGTTTAATTTATTTGTATCTGTGTTGTTAAAATAAATACCCAGTGAGGGATTTGAATTTGGGTAAAATACAGTGTGGTGGTCCTTATTAACTCATTTGAGAGGGTATTGGATACCATTATTTATAGCACTACGAACCTAGGCCCAGTCTCATTGTACTATATACTGTAGCTTTACCATAGCTATGTGGGACCAGGGTTACATATTGTTTATTTAAGGGATGGGGAAAGGGGGTGAGTGTGCCATGGCAGTGTTTGTGTTCAAAGCTTGTTTGTAGATTTGCTGTAACAGCTTTAAAAGAGAAATATAATTTCTAATATCAAAACAACAAAAAAATGCACAATTTTTAAAGGTTTATTAAAGTGATGCTAAAGAGTTAACACTTTTAGCTATAGCTTTAAAACTGGTTTCAGTGATCTTTCACAAAATCTTTAGCAGC